CCCTGGGCTCAGTCCTCAGCACCACATGAAAATAAAAAGTTGAGCTCATGGAAATGGAGAACAGAGCAGTGGCTACCACATTCTGGGGAAGTTGGCAGGTGGTTTGGGGAAATGCTGGTCAAAAGTTTCCCCACAGCCCCATTTAGACAGGAGGATTATGCCCAAGAGATCTCTTGTATGGCATGGCTGCTAGGCTTAGTGACAGTGCAGTGTATAATAGAAAATGTTGAGCTGGCATTAAGTATTCTCACCATGATAAGAACTCACGAGGGACTACAGGTGTTAACTTTTCAGATATAGCCATAATGCAAAACAAAATTCTTCTAAACAGCATATTGCACATAATACATATATATAATTTTATATGTCAATTTAAAGAAATACACAAATAAGTTGAAAAACAGAAATGGTAAGACAATTAAAAAGAAAGGTTTCTTGGGGCTGGAATTGTGGCTCAGTGGTAGTGTGCTCGCCTAGCATGCAGGAGGCACTGGGTTCGATTCTCAGCACCACATAAAAATAAAGACAATAATGTCCATCAACAACTAAAAAAATATTAAAGAAAAGAGAAAGTTTTCCTTTTTTTCCTACCACGTTGTGAATTTGAAATGCTGTATACAAGCTCCAAAGATTATGAAACGGAGACACCTCATGATATCTCCTTGTAGAAATTCACCTTTCCCTAGGGGACACCTTACTATTTTTAAGTCAAAAGGATGCAAAAAGAGTTTTTTCTTTAATAAAATCAACTCATCTTCTCTTGCCACTGCCTCCACAGAAACAAAAATGACTGGGAATTTTCATCTTTGCCATCTCCCTTGTACCCCAAGGGAACTGAATGGTTTAGAGAGTGGGAAGACTATAGAACAATTTATTTAATGAGGAGCTCTGAGAATCCAAACCCTGAGAGAGGAGAAAATTTAATAATGCTCCTGGTACTCCCCACCTGTACTTCTCTAGTATCTGCCTGTCTAAAAACATAAGTCCGCTTTCTATGGACAGGCTGAAGAGGAGAGAGGCTTCAGAGAGACTCACTGGAGAGTTGGTGTGTCCTGGTAAGGCTGGAAGAAGAAGAAGGAAAATGGGAGACAGCGTGGATACTGGGCTTTGCCTCTAGAACAATGGAAATGGAAATAGGATTTCATATTTCTTTAGGCTGTGAAGGTGAAATCTCTGTACTTTGTAGGCACTCTAGTCCCCACTGAGATCTTTCTCTTCAATCTATTTCTCACTCTTTGGAATCTAGATCCCCTCTCCTAAAAGAGTTAATTTCTGGAGAATCTCCAACTCCTCCCGACTCTTTCCTATAGTTGCTGTCAGGTTTCCAGCCTCCCGTTATTTATCTGTTAAATGCTACTATGCATGATGTATTGATTTTTTTTTGATGTATTGATTATTTTATTCTAAATTTGATTTTTTTATGGTTACATCTCTTGATTATTTGTATTTGCATATTTGACTTACTGATAGATCTCATTATTTCTTCATCTTTATTTATTCATTCATTATTTGTGAGTCTGGAGATCTAACCTAGGAACCACTCATGCCTAGGCAAGTGCTCTTGGTTCAATATTGCTCAAGTTATCATTTTGCCTTGAGGTAATCTGTAATCTAACATTGGCATAATTGTTTCCGATGTTCAATACTCAGTCCAATATTCTCTTCTTATATTTATCAATCCCCTTCAATATTTAACAGTTGAATCTGGAGGAGACTTCATTGGCATGCTTATGAATTTAACAAAGAGACTGTACATAAGCCAGCATCTCTTAGATGTTGTCTGAAAACAACCATTTTTTACTGGGTTAGGGACTGTGCTTGGTCTCTTCATTCACCGCCAGCCTCAGCCCTGGCTGCTACCTGTAGTAATGGCAGGAGGATTTTCTCAAATCCATGCATATATCGAGCTTATGTTTATGACTTCACATCATTGAAGTAGTTTGTGACAGATTATTTTGTTTTAAACTGGCTTCTGTACCTGAAATCGGTATTTCTTTTAGTCCTGTTTTACTGTTTAAAGTAGATACGAATACATTTTATTTAACTTCGCTATTTGATTCTGTGTCTCTATTCAGGTATATGAGAAATTGGAAGATTTCCTTTTAGTTTTCTGCTAGGCATTTTGATCTTAATATATATTATGAATCTATATTATGTGTTGTGTTTGTTCAGCACCTATCATGTGACAATACCATTGAAATCTCTGGACAAGTAATAACCCCAAATTGTCAGAGCCAAAAATGAACACCAACTGAGAGGGTTGTAAAGGCCACAGAAGCTCCACAGTGGGCCTTGCACATTCTGTCCCTGCTGACCTTCCTAACCCTCATCTCCTGCTCTCCCTCACACTGGCTTCCCTAATCCCTCTAGTACCGGCTCACATCTGAGAGGGTAACTGAACATTCTGTTCTCTCCACCTACAATTGTTCTTCTTTCCTATGTCCCCCGTTTAACAATGAATGCTTCTTCCTCTCCTGGCTCAAACATTCCTATTTCAGAGTAAACCTCCAAACCACTTCCACAGGATAAATTGGCCCCTAGTTTTTTTTTTTTTCCATCTTGAGCTAATGTTCCTCCTCTAGGTGTTCCTAATAATGACCTTTTGTGTCATGGAACATAAACACATTTTAAAATTTCAAACTTGCCTTTTGATTTTGGAATATTTTAGATCAAATTCATCAATTAAATATTTTGGCCATTAAGTCTATTGATTTTAATATATCGTCTCTCAAGACTATGGACACATGAGAATGCACCTCAGACCTGCCTTGGGTTAGACTGTTATGGTGGTGTGATTCCCACCCCTCACCCCCTGATCCATGTGGTCCCTATCCTTTTTCCTCTTAGAACAATTCATCCAGCAGATATTCTCTGAAAGAACCTTTAGAGATCTTCATTAATTGTGCTTTATGGCAATCAGGAGGGCAAGAGCTGTTGAGCTTACATGAGTGAGAATTCCACCCTTGATTACTACCATAGTTTGAGGGATTTTGCTAAATGACAGATTTATTGACATGTTAAATACAGAAGCTGACATTTATGAGATGCCAATTTTAAGTCAAAGGAAGGAACCATAGCAGAAATTTAGTTACACTATATAATTAAATTTTACTCTTCATATCATGTAGTAGATGTACATCTGCTGTTATAATTAAGATCATTTAATAACTTTCTCAAGGTCACAGAGATGGTGTGTTGGTAGAGCAAACTCTACTCCTGGAAGGCTGACTTCAGAATCCCATTTTTAAATCACAGCTCTACAGGATCCACTGAGAGATGTATATATCCAAAGAATCACAAAGGAGGGGTTTTTACATAATTTTTTGTAGTAACTACAATAGCTATAGTTTACTGAACTTCTCTGAAGCAGAACAGCATTTTTACCTCACAATTGTGGTAATAGCAATAACTTCATATTTAGAGAAAAAAATAAGGCACTGCAAGAGAACTATCACAGCACTATTAAGTGCTGAGTCACAGAATAAAGATTGTTGAAATAAAAATCCACAACAAGCACAGATAATATAACAAAACATGTGAAGATCTTCAGTTCCTATTGTTGGGTCACATTGAGGAAAACATTAGCTCATGTCCATAGATTTAAAAAGGGAATTGAAGAAAAGATATAGTTAAATCCTGTGACTTGATGATAAAAGAGAACAATTTTTGTTAATTTTTTTATTTATAAAATAATAATTATTAGTGCATATTAATTGTGCAGATTCATAGGTTTGACTGTGACATTTCCTTACATACTTGCATCGTGCATTGACCACATCCACCATCCCTGGTATCCTCTCCCCACTGCATGTCCCCCTCTCTTCCCCCTTGCCCTCTTACTCCTTTATTGCTAGGACTTTCTTTATTTTCAGGACTTTTCCTTTTTTTAAGTTCTRCACTTGAAAGAAAATATGCAATGCTTGTCTTTCTATGTCTGGCTTATTCCATTCTTCTCTGTGGCTGAGTAATTCTCCTTTGTGAGTATGGACCACATTTTCCTTCTCCACTCATCTGTGGATGGACACCTAGTCTGACTTGATAAAGTTCCTACTGTAAATAGAGTTATGATCAATATTACGTATGCACGCACCTCTTTTGCATGCTGAGTCCAATTTCATTGGCTATACCAGGAGCTGAATTATGTGGAAGTCAATTTTAGTTTTTTGAGGGACCTCCATTCTCTTTTCCATAGTGGATGTACTGATTTGCATTCCCACCGACAGTGTTTGTAGGTCTTTTCCCCCGGACACCCTCACCACCATTTGTTATTTTTATTTTGTTGATAAAACCCATTCTGACTCCAGTGAGGTTAGATCTCAGTGAAGTTTTGATTTGCATTTCCCTGAAGACTGTAGATGTTGAGCATTTCTTCATGTATTTATTGGTCTTTTGTAATTCTTTTGAGAAATGTTTGTAGAGTAAGATCCTGTACCCATTTATTGATTGGATCCTTTTTCTTTACTGTTATTTTTTTTTGTTCTTTATATATCCTGGATTTTAATCCTCAGTCAGATGAATACCTAGCAGATTTGTCTCCATTCTCTGGATGTCTCTTCACTCTATTATTTCCTTTGCTGTGCAGGTTTTAGCATAATGTCATTGCATTTGTCAGTACTTGCTTTTGTTTCCTGAACTACTGGAGACCTATTCTGGAAACTATAGCCTGTGACAGTATCTTGAACTGTATACCCCTATTTCCCAATGATTCTTTCAAACTTTTACGACTCAATTTAATGTCTTGGAATCTAGTTACGATTGTCTACATGTGGATATCCACTTTTGATTTCTGGTAATTTAAAGAAAGTCCATGTGATTATACACTTTAAAGGAGAAATGGGCTGCCACATGGTTGAGAAAAATCACACTCACTGGCAGGAGAAACTAAGGATGAAGGATCTCCATCCTAGGGAGAGCTCATAAAGGTCTAATTAACTGGGATTCCAGATGGCTATTCATTGAAACTTACCTTTACCTGCTTCTGTAAGAGATACACTAGCAACATGGAAGCTGAGAACCACACAGTCCTGTCACAGTTCCTCCTCCTGGGCCTCTCAGATGATCCCAAACTGCAGCCCATCCTCTTTGGGATTTTCCTGTCCATGTACCTGGTCACAGTGCTTGGGAATCTGCTCATCACCCTGGCTGTCAGCTCTGACCCCCACCTCCACACCCCCATGTACTTCTTCCTCTCCAACCTGAGCTTGGCTGACATCTGCTTTATCTCCACCACGGTCCCCAAGATGCTGGTGAACATCCAGGCACATAGCAATGACATCTCCTACACAGAGTGCATGACTCAAGTGTATTTTTTCCTTATGTTTCTTGGAGTGGATAATTTTCTGCTGACGGCGATGGCCTATGACCGCTTTGTGGCCATCTGCCACCCCCTGAACTACACAGTCATCATGAACCCTTGGCTCTGTGTTCTCCTGGTTCTGACATCTTGGCTCATCATGTTCTGGGTCTCCCTGATTCAGATTCTACTGGTGAAAAGACTGACCTTCTCTATGGGCACTGAAATCCCACATTTCTTCTGTGAASTGGCTCAGCTTCTCAAGGTGGCCAGCTCTGAYACCCTCGTCAATATCATCTTTTTGTATGTGTCAACTGCTTTGCTGGGCATGATTCCTATGACAGGGATCCTCTTCTCCTACTCTCAGATTGTCTCTTCCTTATTGAAGATGTCCTCCATTGAGAGCAAGTACAAAGCATTCTCCACCTGTGGGTCTCACCTCTGTGTGGTCTCCTTATTCTATGGAACAGCACTTGGGGTTTACCTCAGCTCTGCTGAGACCCATTCTCCACAGGGAAGCACAGTTGCCTCAGTGATGTACACTGTGGTCACCCCCATGCTGAACCCCTTCATCTACAGCCTGAGGAACAAGGATGTGAAGGGGGCCCTGGGGAGACTCCTCATCAGAGCAGCCTCTGATCCTTAAGGAATGACTGACCTGAGAAGTAGAGGGACAGTGTGGCCTGTAGGGCAAATGTTGTGTTTCAATGTCCAGCTCCAGGCTCTGTTTCTTTCCTAAAACATGCATTTGATTTCTTCTATACCCTATGCCTTTGCTTCTGTAAATTTTTGTATACCTCCCTAACAACTCCTTCAGTGTTTTCTTTTTAATTTTCTCCTCTGTATGTAGCCCATAAGATTTCAAGTTTTGTAAGTTTTCTCACAGGCATTTCTAGATTTCCGACTTGACATGAAGAACTTATATCAAATGAAGACATGGTTTCCTGAAAAATTATGGCATGAATATTCTCCACCTTAATGTGATTTTGTTCTTTTGTCTCTGGAATAAATGAAAATCATTAGAACAAAGTGCTACCAGGCTGTGCTTGTGACTCCATATTTGTGTATATATTCATTTTGGAGGGATTTGAGACATTTTCTGTTTTTATTTCTTCACGTRATTTCTGAAGAGAAGCAACACATTGGATGGACTAAAACAGGAAGCTAAAAATGAGCACACCCTAATACCCTTGTTTTCCTGGTTTTTGTAGCAGCAGTGATTGGATTTTGAATATTAAGGATACAATCCAGCTTTAAAAGAGTATGTGTTTCTCTGTTACACAGTAATATAATGCCTATGATATTCTGAAAGATTATTTCATTCTTTTTTTGGGGGAGGGGTACTGGGGATTGAACTCAGGGGCACTCAATCACTGAGCCACATCCCCAACCCTATTTTGTATTTTATTTACAGACAGGGTCTCATTGGGTTGCTTAGCGCCTCGATTTTGCTGAGGCTGGCTTTGAACTCACAATCTTCCTATCTCAACCTCCCAAGCCACTGGGATTACATACCCAACTGCTTAATTATTTTTGATCTATAATTTCCCCTTTCTTCCTTCTTATCTTCATATTTTCTCCTTCTTTCATTCCCTCCTTCCTTAGTTTCCTCATTTCTTTGGGCTCTTTTGTAGGTTAAAGTTAACTATCTTCTTTACTATGGCTAAAGATCAACTTTAAGTATACACCACAAGTTGTTTATCCATTGATGGACATGTGGGTTATTTCCACCTTTAACTATTAGTAAATTACTGCTCTGGATATGCACAATTGGGTATTGTTTGTGTTGCACTAATGATGCTTTGGTGAATGACAGGCTGTCTGTGTGATGGTGATCCCATAAAATTGGATTGCCTAGTGGTGTCACAGTCATGATAGTTTATGTAAGTGCACTGCAGGATGATTGAACACTGATAAAATTGCCTAATGTTCATTTCTCAGAATATATTCTCATTGTTAAACAGTGTGTGACTACATGATTCTAATTTTACCGTAATGTATATACGGATGGGACAGCTTGATTGTGTGGTATTTCACTTAGCAGAATTACCATGCAGGTTTTCGTTGTGGCCAGCAAATTTTATATTTTAATGTATGGAGGTTCTGTTATCTTGCATCCTTGCCAATATTAGTGATATATAATTTTATAAAAAGTATGCCACTCTTGACTCTGAAGTAGCACCTCATTTGCTTTTGATTTGTGTTTCCCTGTGAGTCATTGAGCATCTTTTCAGGTGCTTCTTTGAAGTTAATGCATCTTCTATGCAGAAATGCCTTATTAAATCTTAGCTCATTTAGTAATTGTGTAGATTATACTTTTTTCCTGTTAAAATTTCATTATTTTGTCAGGATACTTGACCCTTATCAGATGAATGTTTTAATAATATTTTTCCATTCTGTATGTTAGTATTCCCTTTTCCTCAAACATAGAGTTTAATGTTAATTATGCCCACCTTGATGTGCAAGAAATCTATTGAAGTTATTTCTGTCTAATGGAAGCTTTGTGTCATTGGAACAACATCATGTTGCCTATAATGACATTTAAGGCTCCTTTTTCTCCATATACTCACCGGCCCCTGTTGTCATCTGTGTTTTTGACAATATCCCCTCTAATGTGTGAGATGATGTCTCCTTGCAGTTTACTTTGCATTAAACTAATGAATAGTGACAGTGAGCATTTTCTTCATATACTTGTTAGATATTTGTGTATATCTATCTATCTATCTATCTATCTATCTATCTATCTATCTATCTATCTATCTATCTATCCAGACACATTCAAATACATATAAGTGAGTAATCATTGTCTCAACCAATATCATAGTGTTTTCTCTAGTTGTCTTCTAATAGTTTTATAATTTCAGGTCTTACATTAGAATCTCGAATTCTTAGTCATTTTTATGAGCATGTTGTCACAAAGGGTCTATGTTCATTTTTCTATATATGGATATCCAGTTTTCCTAGAATCATTGACTGAACACATTTCTCCTCCCCCAACCATGTGTTCTTGACATTATTGTCAAAAATAGTTTAATTATGAATTGATCCATAAACTGGTGCATTCATTTCTGGGCTTGCTATCCTGTTCCATTGTCTTTATGTCCATTTTATGCCTCTGTTAGGCTCCATTTCCTTGATAGTGTGTCTTGGTGTGTATAAATTTTTGAATTTATTTAAGAGCAACATAACTTTTTTGTTTTTTTTTGTTTGTTTTTTGCTTTTTTTAAATGAATTTGGGTCATTTCAAAAATCCAAGGTGAAGATGTAATATTCAGGTCTATTCTAAAAGATTTATGATTTTACCGATAATATTTAAACTATTGGATTTTTGGGGTTATATATGGTGTGAGCTAGGTCTCCAAATTACTTTCTTTTTATTAAATTCATTCCTGGAAATTTCACTAGATATGTTTGTGAATCACATCATTAATTATATCTATTTGGCAGTGAAACATGACACTCAGGTGTTCTGCTTATCTAAAAGGCATTGCAAGGAAGGCAATTATGTTTATAGAGAAATGGCGGGGTCCTGCCCTAGCCGGGTCCAGGGAGTCCTGAAGGATGAGTGGCGTCGGCGAAAAGATGAGACAGGAGTTGTTCCGTTCGAGCAATCTCCAGAGAGAGAGAGCTAAAGCAGCTTTCTCTGGGTCCCCTTTTATTACAATTTTTCTCATCATTATAGATTCAGAATACGTCATTAATTATATAATTTAAAACTTTGCCAAGACATGACATTTCCTTAACCATGATTGAGGGTACATTAATTTACATTTTTCCAGGATATGACCTTCAGTTATAAAAGTACAGAATCATTAATAAAATACGTCACTAATTTACATTTTTCAGATTTTCCCAAGATTTATTATTTTTCCCAAGATATATTATTTTCTTATTAACTAATGCCAAACTATGTAACCAGACTCTAAGTCTCCTACCAATCATTAACCTAAAGTACACTTGTACTTTATTTCTAATTTAAAATTCCCATCTAAAAAAGTCCCTTTAAATCTTATATTTAAAATATCCTAAAGTTTATGAATCATTCTTAAAACATTGGAAACTTATGCAACTAAAGACTTAAGAATTTCTAAACTTAAGAATCTAAATAAAATAATATTTCTAACATTATTCTAAAACTGTGTCTTATAAAGCTATTTTAATTAATTCCTAAATTTATTCTCATAAAACTGGTTGAGCTGCTTTCTCAAAGAGTTTCTTTGTTTCT